CGTTAGACATATGATCAAAGGGTTGCGGGTTCAAGCCTCCGGTGGGGCACCACTTGGGCTTGTGTATGGCTGGCTGATGACGGCTAATGAGCTGGAAATGGCCATTCCAGTCTTGCTTGTCCTTGCGGGCAATGCTACTTGTCAAACACACTAGTTGCTATACGGCTGCTAGCGGGGCTCGAGAAAGAGACCCAAGGTAGAGCGGAACGAGTGAGTTCTGTTAGCAATCGGTGAAAGTTACTCAACAAGTGTCAGATCTCACTTACTTCATCGCATGACTCCTAGTCCACTTCTTCTACCAAGCTGAAAAGCCCTCTCCTGGCGACTTCTCTCCACTGGAGGCTCGTGTTCGAGCTCGTGACGCATGTACGAGTAACGAAGGAGATTGGCCGAGCATTGCAACCGTTTTTCAGAGATTTCGAACTCGTACAGGAGTCCGTCGTCAGAGGCTGCAACGGCAACATGACAAACGATAATTATGGGGGTTATTAACAATTTAACGGTCAATGACACAAATTACTGGAGGTGACTGCGCAGGGCTTTGTATGTTGGTGTCAGTTCGATATATCGATTGTGCGAGTTCCATTTCGAGGTACAGGCTTCAATCCTTTCTTCGCTTCTTTCCCTCCGATGCAGGCCCTGAGATGGGTAATAACGGAATGAACTCGTAATCCGCTCTGAAGTTGCGGACAGACGCATGTGATAATTTGCCACCGCGTCACACAGTCAGCGTATGCTCGTATATGCGTAATTCGAGCATGCGTTAATTTTGAACTGGTATAGATAAGAGGTCAAATAAAAAATGTAAATAGCTCTGTGTTCGCGCAAATGGTAGATCGCCCCGTAGATGCCAGGTAGGCTTTCCGAGTGATTTACAAGTTTCCCTCAAGTTATTCAAAATATCTTGGACGGCTTCTGTTGGCTACGACAACAGCGGCTTCAATCAGGTTACGTGAACCGGTCCATGTGCCGAAAAATTCATAAAAGCGTCTCAGTTGCCATGGCCGAAAGTCGCCCGCGGCTAAGTACCTTTCCCGGCGTCTAGTAATGCCCTGACGCTGATCAGATTATTGCCAGCACTTTTGTTTGCTCCCTCACCCTGACGATCGCACGTTTTTTCTCTAAGTACCCGCATATTTTACTTAGTGACAACGATATAAATGTAAAGGCCTGACAAGAATTCATCTAAGGCAAACGTATGCTTCCCAAATTTTCTTTTGAACATCTCTGATCCTTTAAATAGCGCTCCCCTCGGCTTAAAAAAAGCCATGTTTGATAGCTTTACAGACGTGAGTCCCGCACGGTTACCACATCGAATTCAATAGCATTGCACTCAAACGCCCCACACACTGGCTGGGGTCGTATGTGTCACCTCTTGTTCCGACGATTACTCCAAACGACCAAACCTCTGAGCGATGAGAGTTCACACTGTGTTTTCAACTCGCAAGACCTCGTAATCCCTTGTGCCATCGTGCCTTTTTATAGATGTCTCTGCCCCCGTATAAATGGCGTTCCAACCGTGGTGGTTGTGGCGTTAGGCAGGTGGATGTGACTGCTCTGGTGAATCAGGCCGGCGGTTCTGTTCCTCCTATTTCTTGCAATAATAGTTCTTGTAATCTATTGGGTCGGAGAATAAGCTTCCATGGTCCACTGAACTAAGTTTGTGTCTGTGCGGGAAAAGTGAAGCCGACGACTTGTCACACGCTCCAATAAAGCGCAAGTTTTAGCCGCCGGTAGGCGACCACAAACCGACAATTAAAGAGGCCGGAACTAAGTAGGCGTCTTTACCCTGTAGAAGTGTTTCCGTCGTCGAGGCCGCGTCCATTCGGTTGGTGAGCTGAATGTCATGAGTCAGTGGGCATTGTTATCGTTATTTGTGAAGTCAACAAGCGTGGGATAGACACGCACACGCCTGAGAACGGCTGCCAATGACGGTCAGACCTAATCGTACTGCTGCTGTTGTTCATATTGGCATCCTGCTGCTGTAGCCATAGACGGAGTCTCACCCTCGTATGTGATGGCGGCTTAGAGCCAAGTC